TTAGAGGAACAGGATACAGTCTGTATTCGTTCGTCCGTTTGAATGATGACGACGATGAAAACACCTAAACGGGTTTGTTTTATGAAGGGAATGGTGAATATTTGCCGGGTAAATCGAGTGCAGATAGGGGCCCCGAAAATGTACCACAAACTGCTTTTTCAGACCAAGTGTTCAAATGTAACAACTTGCAGTCCTAATGATGGGGCGCATATTATCCTTAGATGGTATGAAGGATTAGAAAACACGCAAATACGTTTTTGTGTACCAACGCACAATCTACACTAGTGAGACAACATGGTTCCGAGTCTATCACAGGTGTGATTGTCTCCCACTGGCTAGCAAGTTACCCTAATTGAACCCAAATTAGTGGCTTTTCATAATTTCCCATCATCCTCTTTACTTTGCGTATAAACCCAACAGATGCACACTGGATGCTGTGTTTACTCTGATTCATTCTAGAAGTAAGTCATTGAACAGCTCTACCAAATCTGATCGTTGCGTTTTTCTTGATTATTCGTTTCTTTCTGATTATGTGTCCCAGTCATCCCTACCATTTAAGCTTGAATCTTTTGGCACCCCGAAAAAGCTGCTCTCGTGGCTTTCTGATTATTTCACAGAAAGAATGCAGCGCACAAAATTGGGCAGGAATACCTCAAGTCCTCTAAACAGAAACTGCATCATGCGTTAAGGTGCTGTACTCCCTTCGTATCTTTCCTCTGCTTTCATTAGTGAACTTTCAGTTCCCAACCTTACTCATATCCAAATGTATACTGACGATATCGTTTTATGTCAGACTATTTATTCTTTTTCGAAATTTTCCTCCCTCACTGAAAATCTGTCCCGAATATAACAGTTTTCAAACCAGTCTGGCCTTAAACGGAACACATAGTTGCTTCGAGTGCATTTTTAGGTCTTTAGGCTCTAAATCTCCGTCACACACTGAAACCCTTATTTATAGCATTTTGTCTAGACTCATTTCCATCAAATATCTGGGTGTTACTATCGATAATATTAATCGGTGGTCGACACTCACTTAAAACTGTATAGGAAAACTTCGACGCCTCCATTTTTAATTTCGGAAGCTCAGACAATTTCGAATTCCCGAACAAGTTTTGTTCTCTTTTGTTAATCAAGGCATCCTCCCTATTTTACGTTACTTCTCTCCTGTAGTGTTTTCCGGTCTATTGAAACAATACTTTAAAACGATCCGTTGTGAATTGATGATAATAAACCGTGTATCTTTAATTTCTACCGAGTCATTAGGCACAGAAATTATTCATGATCATATGACGTCCTGTGTGATCCAAACGTCCCCTTTCATCTTTTGCATTTCCATTTATATTCTTATCGATCCCACTCAGTCTCTCGTTCCTCCCGTTTTTTTTATATTTTTTTATTATTTTCTCCTGTGTGACTACCAATGTACAGTTTTTAACTGAAATAAAAATTTCGCAATACTTATCAGGATCTGGCGAACACATCGAAATATGTTATATGTTGACAAATTATTGAAAATCGGTTCTCGTAGCTCGGATGAACTGAATTCCACTTCGCCTGTTCGCCGAGCTTGGTAATTTGCTTGCAAACGTTTCATCAGCAGCCGAGGTGACATCATCAGTGCTTCAGAAGCACTTAACATAAGGAGAAAATCACAGATTTCTGAACACTACATGTTGGTTGAACTGTTTTTTCTTAATTTACAAACATCTCTCTCTCTCGCTCCGCACCGTTTACACCCAAACTGGGATTCATAAACTAGGAGATCTATCCAGTCCACCCCGATGGGCAGATTTTGACTCGGGGTGCACAGGAAAAAGAAAATCCGTATAGTGGAAGACGTTTTTTCTAGTCACGTGAATGCCAGCGTGTTTCATTTTGCTGGACATGTCGCGTACACCTGGCAAGTTTGCTAACAGATGCTTTGTTTAGTCTGAACACTTTGGGTGAGTTGCACAACCCTGCACTTAGGAAGTAGACAAATACCTACCACAAGTAACATAAACATCAGCTAGTTATGTGGTAATGACTTTATGTGATGGTTGTTTGAACTTTTAAAGGCAAGTTCAACTGAACCACGTGACAAGATAGAGGATCGGGCGAAACTCGTTAGAATATGGATTGAGGAGAAACTTTGTACCATAGAATAGCTGTTCCGCCTCATAGATCGATTTATTTATCCCCCCCCCCGATCCGGAAAACAAGATGGGACTCTTCAAAACGATATGTTCAAATATCTTACTCTTGACTTCATAATTCTAACTGCACTGATGTTTTGTTGTTGACTAGATAATACAGAGTAAATATCCATCAGCACAAAGCCGAATGGTGCTATTCCGGGTTTTCCAGCTGTATATTCCCTGATTTGATGCACAGATATTTTGCTGGATTGACAGGTGCTTATATGATCTCGGTTGCTTTATGACAGATTTTCCTAACGTTAAAATATCGAACGCCACTCCTCAGGTAAACTTTGGTTCACTGAGTTCCGGTTATTTACTTTTCGGTGGCGCTTGATTATTCGTAACAAACCATTTATTCTCTTTTCAAGGGGATAGGATTATTCTGATATGGAAAAAACATTTGCTTTATGGTTGTCAGCCGTGAAATCTTTGGGGTTTCCCAAAGACGGATTTTAATAGGAGGAGTAGAACAACCACGCCAACACTATTCGCATTTTGGATGGGAATAAGACAAGCGAATAGTTATTGTAATCCATTTGAGTTCTACTTACACTCGTTTAGTTCGGATTGTTCATCGATGTGAAGCTCATCCACAAACGGGTGTTTCATGCGTGTTTTTGGCTACTCTTTGTCAGAGCTGCCGCTCAATTCTGCCTTACTAGGTGGCCGAGAACCCACAGATAAATTGGTACAGTTGATGGGATTTGACATACTGCGGAAGCGGTTGCTTCACTGAAGGAGTCGGTATTCTGTCACATGTGTAGACGAAAACTGGTTCGGTTGTGTTGAATGTTCATTTGATGGACGAGCTTAGGCGGTGCGCCGAAAAAATCACTCACATCACTACCCTTAAATGGCAATTGTAGAACAACCTTAAACATCGGTACGGTTATTGGTCGTATTTGTAACTCTAACCCTACCTCGGTAGCAAGATGGACGCAGGTAACACTAGCAGCTCACCCGCTGAAAATGTTACTTGGTAGTTTTCATTATATGCTATGACTCTAATTTGTACCTGACGAGATACAGTGAAATGTTTCCAGAAATAAATTATGCAACATTGTGCTACTGTGTTCTTTATTCAAGTACATTTCGGGAAAATGTTGTTCTGATTAGTGGTACAGTAAAAAGCATTTTTGGATCCAATACATGAAACAACACTTCTTGAACGTTCAGGACAAATGTGGTTTACATAATATCACTGCAAATAATATTGGTGTGACTCTGTTGAAAATCCAAAAGTTTTGCTTGCATCAAATACGCATACAACGTAAATACAGATCTGTTTTTGATGTAGCACTTTCTCCAGAGGATTCTTACATTTTACAAAACACGTGTCCGGTGTTCAGTAAAGGTGTAAAACCCAGACAGAAATGTTCATCTACTCTGTCTACGTATGCGATGCATTTTGACAAATTAGTCGATGCCGTTTAAACATTTAGCTCTATTCTGCGACCACAAATACCCAACACATTTTTGTGCATGTACAGCGTGTTCTCGATTTTCGTTCGGGATTGATGCATGTAAAAAAACATTTCGAGTAGCAGGAGTTTGAAGAAATAGAATTGGCCATGCATCACTGTCTGTGTGACGAAATTTCGGATGAAGCGATGATGCGTGGTAAACGCCACTCAGTCATGTAAAGTTACCTTGGTTTATACTTGCGTGACAGAAAATCTGTAGTTCTGTTCAAATCCCTGACTTTGAGGTATAAACACTCAAGGAAAATCGATAAAACGGTCAAGATTGTAGCTATTTTTTGTATAGATGACCACTCTTGGAAGTTAATTTAAACCACAAATCAACTGTGGGAATGTGAATAGAACAGACATTTTACGGGGATTAATTTGCAAGATATTCTTCCAAAAATCGGATAAATTATAGGATGCAGTGGTGAATATTACATTTGTCAAGCACATTGGCATATTTATCTGAATTACGTTTCTCAATCTCTGCCCTACCTTCATTCTTTATTTTACACAAAATGTATTTTAAACGAGATCTGGTCAGTTGTTCTACACTTTATGCGTTAATTGGAAAGTGTTTCCCGTACGTCGGTTTCACCTCTCATCGTTGTTCATATTACTTGCTAGGTTTAAGTTGAACATAAACCGTACATATGGATGATGAAATCCTACCGGAATCAATTAGTTATAAAACCATTGAAAATCTGATCATCTAACAAAATTCGAATTGACTTTTTTTGGAAATAAGTTTTTTTTAGGAGGTTTGGTGCTATTTGAGAACCTAAAATTTAGAGAAGACATCAGGAGTACACTTATGCAACCACTGCCAATGAAAGATCACAATCGGGTTTGTCAAATGTAACTAGCACTGTAGGAAACATCTTGTAGGAACCGGCAATGTTCACGGAAAGTCAAGCATTAGTCGAAATCCTCCGTCGCATAAGCGTGTATGCTGAAGTTGATGTGAGCAGGTTGCGTTTGACAATTTTAAATTACCGAACCACCTTTGTGTTGCTGATTTGAAATAAAAAGTCATGTCTTGCTGAATGTTTTTCTCATTTATTCACTTGCTTAACATCCAGCATCACCGAGAGAATTGAATTGTGGTAGTAGTTTCTGTGGTTGCCGGGAAACTCGAAACTCCTACATGGTGAAGTTCTACTCTATGGTCAGTGATACAATCCGAATATGATTTAATCACAGGATATGGCCCAGATTCTTACAATTTCAACTGATGTCCAGCCCCTCCCTCACCCACATTTGGTTTGGTATATTCCCTAAAATAACGAACCAACACAACCGTTCACAATCACATTTATTTCTTCCATTTTTGCCTACATTTCTGACCGGTCAGACGACGCGTTTGTGCTGGGCAATGCGCAGCCACAACACTATCCAATTGTCTATTGTTCTGACGGGTTCCTGGTCCTTACTCGTTATCCTCGGGCCAGTGTGATGTCGCGTAGTAGCGTTTGTCACTTTCTCTGGGGACCAAAAACCTCTGCCAAAGATCGAGCACGGATACTGAAAGCGTTCAGACGTCGAGCGGAACTGTTTTTGGAACTGGTATTCTACAAACGAACAGGTGAGTTTTGTCTGGAACACAGACAGACATTGTACGGTTCGCAAAAGTGGGATGTGTTACTAATTAACTTCAGTCAGATTCTGATTGTATTTTAAATATGCATGATTTGAAAGCCTGTTTCAGTTGATTTTTTTCAGTAATTATAGTCAAAGTCAAAGTTTTGTTGTGGGAAATACTTACAACCGGTTGTTCGTCGTGATCCATAGGGTTTAGCACAAATGGATCCATTTACTAGTCATAGACAGATTATCTTAGTTTCGTTTACTACTACGGCAGTTGAAGTTTAAAAACTTATTGAGGTTTCATCCCGTCGGTGTTTAAAGGAATCAATTAGCGGCGCAGAAACAACGTGTGGTGGTAAAGGATTTCAAGTAGTCCACACTTTGCGGGCGATTGAATGATGCCGGCGTTCTACAGTCGATATTTTTGGAGCACTAATTTGAACAAGTGCCCCTCAGATGAGTGTTGGATGACAAGGCGAGCAGTGAACGACATGGGTGATCAGTATTCTGCAATATTTGATAAAAAAAACTCAAGTCACCTCGAATTTGGCGATACTATGTGGAGTGCAACCTCAATGATTCCGGTCTTTCTACATTAGTCCTGGAGTACAGTTCCTTGGCCATTTTGGCGGTCATTCTTTGTGGACGTTCCAGAATCATGCGATCGCGTTTCAGCCATGGATTCCATCTATGAATGTCGTATGCTATGTGGGTGTGGATGTAGGCTTATTACAGTCGTAGGAACAAAGTAGGGTCAAATTTGCCAAATACTCTCTTTAGCAAACCAACATATCTTACAGCACTGGACGGCTCCTTGGAGCAGTTTATAGAACAACTTAGGTTATCTTGACTATTGACATCGACATCCTTTTCATTCGATACATACGGAAGTTTCTGATCTCCGAAGAAGGACGGAAACCGAGTTTTGTGTCGAAGGGATACATTAAATTCGATTTCGCTTTTGATTGAACATTGATGAGCAGCATTAGGTGTTCTCTGAGGTGTTAGATAGTCCTTGCTTGTGTTTTGTTACTGTTTTCCATATTTTCGCATCGCCTGCAAACATTAAAATGTGACCCCAGAATTTCAGTTAGGTCTCTTTTATAAAAACTGGAAAAAGTGGAGGACTAAGCACGAACCCTTGTGGAACTCCTCGGACTACGCTGATAGGATCAGAAAGAGATCCAGACACCCAAATTGCCATGGTACGTNACGTTGTGGAGGAAATTCGTTGATCAACACCAGTGAAATCCCTGAATTCCATAGTTGTGTAGTTTCTTCAGAAGTATTTTGTGGTTTACTCGGTCAAATGCTTTGGAAAAGTCGAGATGCATGACATCCACCGCACCACTGTGATCAGCTGTTTTTTTCCACTCTTCTCGGACCATAAGCAGCTTAGTGATGTTTGAGAAAAATATCTGATGCAAATTACGTTGCCGCTGGTGTTCGATCAGTATCTGCATATGATAAACAGACGCCATACTTAGAGACCAATAAATAGTATGGGAACCACTCAATATTGTTTCGGCCATCTTCTCATTAACTATTCACAGTGCTTATTTTCTCCAGGGTAGCTAAATTCCACTGCTGGGTGCAGGTATTTAGTTAGACAAGCATTGTTGATTCGGGATATCCATGAACCGTTCACCTTTTTACTCGATATTTTATGGGTGTGCTAGAGGTTGATGGTCGTAACAAACATGACATTTCACAATACCCAGTCGCTGAAGGATTAGATACAGCGTCCCTGAGTGTCCACACGATCGGTTTCACGATTCTTGTCACGCGATGAGCATGCGTATCTAGGTAATCTCACATGCACGCATGCATTCAATTTAAATCATAAATGTATACACTGAGTCACAGTAGCCACTTGGTACTGGACATGGTCGGAATGGCCTGTCCAAAAATTTCAAGATTTAAAGGTTTGGAGTTTGAATTCGGTGAATTCAGCTCTCTTTCTATCTGATTTGTATTGTTGGATTACACGAGATACATAATTCGGGTTTCATCCGATCTTACCTCCAGTGGTTAGGTCACCAACTTGTGACCTGTGAGTCCCGGGTTCGACCCGCTTCAGTCCCACCTATCTTCTCAGACAGCCGTTGTATGGCCGCAGCCCCCCCCCCACTTCATAAATGTTGACTGTACATTATTATATTGAATAAATAAAAAGGGAAGTAACAAGACATTGAAAAATATAGTGAAACACATCGTTTATTATCCAAACTTTCACTTTATCCATTCTTGCGCTACACCATATCCCAACCGGTTGCGCCTTATACGAGACCTAAAATTCATATACTTTCCCTCTTTTTCTATTTCTGTTTAACTGAATTACTGCCCTCCAGTATTGTTTATTTTCATTCTGACTTTGGCGCGGTAATTAAATCGATATGATACTTTCATTATTTATAGAACCAAGTGTTTAATATTATTTCTACTGCCCAAAGCTGTATTTTCTACCCAGATCGTGTGTTTAGATAAGATTAACAGGATTGGTATTTATTAATAGCTCCCATTGTTATACTTAGCTATTCCGTCTTACCGTTCGCGATGGTTTCGTGCTGCTACTTGTGTGTTCATCGCAGAGTCTATAAGTGCTATTCGAATTTCGTCGTACGTATTATCTGATTGATTTTCCGTAGTAATTATCAGCATCATCATTATCATTCACACATACTATATTGATTTTCGTTTCATGTACACCTCACAGGTGAGCCATTTCTTTGTGATCTGAATATCAATCCAATCAAGAATGAAAAAGGATGCGTAGTGTTGTTCTTGTGCAACTTCATCGGTGTTAGCTCATCGCGCGGACGGAAACGTCCAAGCATCAATACGGCTTTGTCCTATGGTCAGTTGAATCACCTACATTTACGTGAACCCCCTATTGCTCAAAGTCGTCCCGGGAGCAGGAGTAGTCTACCGAACAATGCGATTGCCATGGGTGAGTTTAAGTCTGCAGATTGCTTGACCATTATCTCAGAGTTGCACCGGATTACATCCGGATTGATGTTAGGAACAGGGAAAAACCGATAGACCAAACTGTGAGCAATAATTTATTTCTACTGGGTTTTAGAAAATAAACGTTTTTTATTCACGAGCTGACAGGATGAAAAAAATAACTGTAATGTAAAATATATGAGGAAAAATATACCGCAATCTGGGAAGACCTAATAAAGTACAAACTAGATTATTACAGGTTTCCCTACACACCGTTGAACGAAATTATTATCCCTTTTTTTAGAGTAAACACCAATTCATGCTTCAAGGAGCTCCTGTATTTTGCCTAGTTAAACCATCATAGAGCGGAATTAAATCAAACACGCATGATTGTTTCGACAATAATGCATATTTTGGAGCATATCAAGGTGACAGTGCTTGGGAAATACTGATACCTGGCGTATTAAACGGAGTTCGATAGCCAAACTGTCATTTCAGTTCGAAAATTTAAGACTACCAACTATCACAACCAGTAACATCCCTTAGCGTAAACTCCGTATTCCGTGTTCGTGATATAGTTTGGAATAAATGTTTATTTATTTATTTATTAAAGAAATTATGTATACATTTATATGTAAACTTAAATTAGTTAAGCATCGCCGAAACATCATTCTGGAATATTGTGTTGAACACAACAGCCTAAATTACCCCGGAGTGGCACATTCTTTAAACGTTTGTTTCTTACTGTTTCATTTTGAAAAAGTAAAGTGCGCAACTATGTGTAAAACGTTAGAAATATGACTATGCTGTACGATACCACTCAGGGTAATGTCCATTTGTACTCTGAATGTGGCGAATAATATTGTTTTTTTGGTGCTATTGCAGGGGTTGAGACTAACAACAACGTTATCAGAATAATTGCTAATATTGAACATGAGAAAATCAATGAAAGATGGGTTACAAAGTAAAAAAGCGCTGTTCAGAAGCAATGATGCACGGTAGAAGAATCAGGATGCGGGTAGATAATCACCATATTCATAACACATTTACACGTTACATAACTGAAATGAAATTGGAGTATTCTCTCCGTGTAAAGACAACCAATGTTGAAGGAAAGAATGATATCCTGAATAACGAAGTTGTCCACGGCAAAACGTAAACATTCGAAATTGGATTAAAGAATCCAACTGCCAACAGCTTTGTTTTACAACTTACTTCACTGTTTTGAATCTACAGATGTTGGCCAAACTCGTGCAACACCCTGACACTTTCATTACGTTTGTTTCTCCCAACGCTTCGTGTTTCATGTCTCATTCACGGGATCGAATATGATATTGCTCCACATCAGACGCAACCTATTCGTAATAATATCCACCTGTGGCTTTACTTATGATGGGTAAATTCCAATACAATGTATGATTTCTCGATTTCGACAATGAATTCTGTTGCATAAGTTGTAAAATAACAAAGCCCCAGGAAAAATTAAAACTGAGATTTATTGATAAAAATGACTCATGATTCCATACAGATACTGTACTTTATTCTAGTGGAAATTGTCTGTTTTCTTTCTTTTTAATTGTAATTTCTTTTTATTGAATATACAATGATACAATTTTCAGGAAGGGGGAAGCGACCAATCAAAGGCCTGCCATGAAGAAAGTCAGGCAGTGGTAATGGGGTTTGGACACACGTCCCCCAGGGTGGTAATTTGGTGACGTTACCACCAGGCCACCACCGCCCTGCTTCAACTTTTAACATTAAAGACAGTCGCTTTAGCATGGAGTCCGTCAATTTGATTATCCAACAGAATTAGCCAGTTTCCTCGAATACATGCCGCACCCGATTCACAGATGATCACTGTTGAGACAGTTAACGGACCCTGTTTCTGTTTAGATTACATTGCTGAGTGGTAATTGAATGAATGTGCTATTGGTCTCTACCCGTCCGGAAACTGCATAAGTGTAAAAAAATAATATTTAATTAGGTCAGGCTGTTTTTTCATACCAACCTCAAACGAAAAGATATACTAAGCTTTAACTGTGGAAAATGTGACTTCTGCTCATGCATTTTGAGAGAGAACCTTCCCTATCAGTGCACCACATTTGGCGATACCCAAATCGATATGTGCAGTAGACCAACAGCGAAGCGCCCATTATTTAATTTCCTTCCAACGTGTTAATTGAGGTGAATATTTACTTTTTTTGTTAGATAAAACGAAATTCATTGGAAAGCTAGTTCAGTAGATAAATCTTCTGCTCTGGCTGAATTGTTCGTCGACCACCAGTGTGATAAACCTATTGGCAAACAGACGGGCGGCCAATTTGAATCCGTTAGTAAAGTCAATAATTTCACTGCTTTGTTGGTTTTTTCACCCGGCTTGGGCATGGCGAAACTACAAACCGCTTACTCAACGAACCGCACACCTCAAGGTTAACTTGTAGGTTTCTCGGAGCATATTTTCCATTGTTTCAATGAAATGGATCATTCGTGAGTAGTTAGTAGCCAAATAATTTATCACTTTATTAGAGCTAGAACATTTGCAATAATTTGCTTGTTTACTTTGCACTGAATTAAAAGGTATAGGCAATTTTGAATATGTGTGCTCAACCTAATAAACACTCACCTGACACAGGAATTAAAAAAATATTAGGAAGAGTGAGCTTTCCATGAAGCTTTGCATAAAATATTTTCCGAATCTAACCTGTCACTTTCGAAGTATTGCAAAGTAATTCAAAGTGGTTAGAAGTTGAAAACAAGGTACCTCGAGCAAAATCCGCTCCATAGTAGACAATCATAAAAGGCTTGTTCTAATACCCAAGTTAGCCTCATCGTACATTCTCTCCGGACTTGTTACCTTTGTTACTCAAGGAACAGACATCTCTTTCAGACCGCGAAACATGTCGGTGAAAAAGGCGATCATTTGGTTTGACGAAAGACAGTCACTTTTTCTGGTAAAATCCCACCCATATCTTCGTGATGCAAGTTGCCAAATTAGATGGCCTCCAGAAGGTTGGAAAGGGGGGATTTGGGAGACTAAAGTAATTATATAATGCACAAGTCAGGCACTGTCGGGTTTGCACACTCAACGAACGTCAAATAAGCAGTACCTCCGTTCTTTTTCAAAAACATCTGATGCAAAAAGCGGATTGCGCGACCACAGGCATCCACGTTGCGGATGGATTTGTATCCTGGGTATCCTGTAGTGAGATTGTACAAGTCAGTCATGGAAAACAGTGATTTCAGAGAAATCTGTTCATGTTTTCCACTGAAAACGTTATGTGAGTAAGGCAGTGGATAAAAGAGTGTTTTTTTGTGGATTATATTTGTTGCCGTGTTGCTGAGTTTGTGAGTTTGACAATTATAGTCAGGAGCTTGATCATTGCTATCTTAAAATTTCCTCAAAGTGTATACAATCTCTTCCGGAGAAACAAAGGTCTGTTTTAATGTAGGTTGAAAAGAGAGTGCAACAGAGTGTTGTCCGTTCAGTTGCTGGACACAGAGACAAGGGTTGATGCCTACAGCAGCTATTATTATTAACATAAAAACAGTCAAAATGTAAATTGTACTTGAGCTCCAATCGGAAGGGCCTCCTGCTTTCACACACACAGTTTCAAGTGATGATTGCTCTTAAGTCGTCTATTTATCACGAGGTTCTAAGTAATTTGGTTCTAAGCATCGGTTGGATTACTAATATTGTTTGAACGGGACACCTTGAATTAGGACAGTCTTTACAGCATTCAGAATATGAGGAGTCAAGACAATACCAAGAAGTCGGTGGAGAATTCCGGTCTCTGAGCATCACCCCGGGTCTCAGGAACGATTCAGTTACATTTGGTTCTGTTTTGTTTTGGGTTAACTGTCAAACCAAAGCATACCAACCAACCAATCGACGGGAATAAAGGGAGTTAGTGTGAGAATATGAAACAAATCAGGGATATATCTATAAATACAACCATGGTAAAAATTGCGTGGAAATTGAAAATAATTTGCCAGGCTCTCTAAGACAGTGGAATAGTTAGAAGGTATATGTCATTGCGATTTGAAGTTACCAGATGTCTTGCTCGCCGACTGCTTCATTGAAATATCAAATGTGACATTGGGGTAGATGTTTGAGGTCAGTGTTCATATTCGTGCGAAAAAATATCGAAGTACGGAAGCCACTGATGAAGTATGCCAGGAAACGAATGAAAGTGTACCAAGTTCACATACATGAATCACACGCTCACGTGGTGGCTTTCACACCAATTCCGGTAGACGAAAGCAATCACCTGGAGCCTATATGAAATTCGTCTAGTCCGACCACAAATTATTCACTTTGAATTTGTTCTACCGAATTTATTTTTTTACGTCTCCCTCCCCTCGTCCCCAACCCACCCCCCATGGTGAAACAAAATTGTTGTTGACCAACTAGAAGGTTTCATCATCNTCCCATTTGACAGGACTTTGTTGTAACGTAACCCACCAACTAGCGTAATACCTACTTTCGATGACCTTAATGGTAAATTCCAGAATATACCCATCTGAACAGGAAAACACAACTTTCGAGGCATAAGAATTTTTTTCATTGATTCGTCTTCTGGCCTGTACAAATCAAATAGGAAAATGGCATGTGGGAACGAGGATAGTTATTCAGTCATTTAAAAGTCATGATGCTTGATTGGAAGGGAGAGGAACGGGATAGGGGTGGAGGAGGTGGGGTGTTGCGATGTATTTCATGCCCCTAGATGATCATCACAACACCGTTATCAAACTGTGATGCGTCATCCGTGCGATCGATCTTCAGTCACTGAATTAATTTTCCTTTTTCTAGCTGTTTCTGAAAATTCCCCTCGAATTAGAAAAAAATGCTAAATTTGAACGCGCATATAAATTGGCATACCATGAGATCAAAATGAGAGGAATTGGACTTCATGAAACCAGCCGTTTATACCACGTCGTCACACGATTGATGACTAGTCGAAATTCATACCGGGCTCACGGAATTGAACTCAGGATATTATCTATTTGTATTGGATCATTTGATCGATTTAAGTGTGATGCGAAATTTCTGAAACAATCCTCGGTGGGATCTGAACATGCTCCGATATGGGCGCATACGCCTGTGAATAGCTTAGGCTCCATAAACTGAAATAAAATATCAAAAGCGCAGTCAGTTTGCTTGACGGTGGTAGCCAAGTGGTTGGGTCACCAGTTAGTGACCCGGAAGTCCCGGGTTCGAATCGCTCCACCGCCGTCGGTTTTCCCTATTTCTGTATTTCCCCAGGTAGCCTTTAATGACCGCAGCTCCCCTCCTGAAAGTGGAGTGCATATTTGTGTGATCAATAAATAAAAAAGGAAGTAGAACAATAAGACATATGCTACTTGGTGTATTCCATGCGCCACTGTGAGTTGCATGTCGGTGATCCCAGAGTGAAAATATCCTAGCTCATCTGTTTGGGTGTGCACTGAACAAAGTTCAGGTGGGCCTTTGCACGTGTGTTTGAATCATCAAGTTTCCCAAATACAATATGATAATATTGTTACCAGAATATGTAGATGAGGAGGATGCAAATGGAGTGCAATAATATTGACAGAATATTTCATGCTTTCATTCCTGATTCGCAGTGACAATTTTATTTGTGTATATTAAATGCTTCTAGTTTGTGTCTGAATGAAAACTTGGCACCATTTCCGTTCTGATTTATGCAGAGGAACCAGGAACCGGATCCAAGTGTGATTCATCTAAAGCGATGATCAGGTATCGAACCCGAAAGTCTGACGACTACCTTCGCAGATCGTATACTGATCTGACCAAACTAATTCACCAGAATCACCTGTCTGGCCAAGGGGAATCTCAGGACACCTCGGAATTGGAACAAAACAAGTACGCAGATGAGCATTCAGTTCTACCTAATCACCGAGTAATGTTGGCCAATTCCGTACGCAGTTCCTCATCTGACCGGACAGCAAACATTGAGCCAGACTATTCCGGGTTATCTTATTCCTTCACTGCAAATCAATCGAGTGAATTGAACGCCCTAGGAGGGGAACCCGGCGTGTACAGTATGCCTGCTCGAATGAGACTCCGATTGGATCCAAGCACACGGGAGAAATATCCGGTGAGCAGCGAGACGGTACCTGTGCCGGCCGGATCGTTAGACTTAAACGAACCGTTTAATGTGACTCAAGGGAAGCTTCCAGTTCCCGAGTATTCAAATGTGAAAATATCCCAGCTCTCATCTGCATCATCCGCGAGCAATTTGCCAGACAAACCGTATTCCCCTCAATCATCACAATCCCTGTTACGTCAGAATACCGTCGGTTCGCATCAACTTATTACCGGTATTGGTGAGGCGATCGGGCTTCGTGCGCATGAAAAACACGACGTAATGTCCGGCAAACAACACGCAGCTTCTCGGTTTCAACATCAACCATGGAGTTTCAACGGCACATTTGATTGTACCGGTGGATCTGTTCGGTACGATGATGATATGCACGAGGTTCAAACAGATTTTTCTAACGAACGTCCTCTGTTCAATGGGAATGGGCATAAAACACATTCCGTAAGTATTTCATTCGTAAAACAATGTGTTGTCAACTTTAACAGATACGGATTCAAGCAGAGACATACCACTAATGCGCTTATGTAATATGCGTATAACTTCCATCGTTACTGTTCGCCTCGTGTGCTAATGTGCTTGCGATGAGGCGTGCAGACAAGATAGTTGCTCAATTGGGAATGAAACGTTTTGTAAATAAATTGCCAAACTCAATAAATAGCTAAGTGGTTAATTACTATTCAGCTTGCCTGCGAGGGGGAAACAAACCCACAGCCAACGAGAAATACAATATTTCAGAACCAGATATCTGAAAAGAAAAAACTTACTAATAGGTATAAGCAGTAAGAAATTGGGTATGTTGCGTGAGAAACATTCTGTATATGGACATAATATTTACAGCAGTCATAAACACTCACTTAAATACCTGTGGATGGTCATAGTTAAACTCATATGGGTGCTTCTTGCAATTCGCCCACAAGCTGACAACCGGTTGTCTGGTCACCGAGTCTGTCTGTCCCGTGGGTTTAAACACATCTCTGGATGAGAAGAGTTCTAATGCCATCGGAGATTTTCAATCTCACACCTTGTAGCACTGAGCCTCTCTTCTCGGACGAGATTGATCAATTTCGCGATTTTGGAGAGACAAAATCGTTGTTCCCAATTCCATGGGCTACCCAAACGCTATACAATCGCATATCCAATTTCCGATTACCTGGACACTGTCTTGAACGTTCTTTCGTTTTACACACATGAAAAAATCTGGCTTCCGAATTCGACTGGAGGCAGCCCTCCTCTCTACAAATAGAAACGTAGAAAACATTTGCATGTTTCCGATGCGATATTGTGGAAAAGGTAGATCGTCGCAGCCGACGTAGAATATTTTGAGTACATCTATTATTTTCCGTCCTAAATTGATCAATATAGTTGCAAAACTGAGTATTGTCTGCAACGGAGTGAACGCTCGTTGCCTGTGAATCATTGCATCATTTGAACGATACACAAAATAGTGATAGGTCAAAATGTAAAGTATGGACTGGCAGATCACAGTTATTCATTGTGAATTAAGGGCGTGCCAATTCCCTTAGGGAAAAGGTCTGAGTATTGATCTGGTATGTGAACCGGAAACTGAGGATTTACAAAACATGGGCAAATGTTGTCCCATTTCGGTGAGTTTGCTGGGTAATGTGTAAAGCTCAAGGTAAAAGGTGATATTCTCACTTGAGTATAGACAGTCGCTGACGACTCCCGATCACGGAGGACGTGAGTGTTGACGCCTGTTCGAGGAGTGTTGTATTAGCACATTTCAGATTGATTGGTGCATGCGTATACTAAACATAAAATCAACAATTAGATCCCAAATGACGTGGTCTATTATTGACTCCATTCCTTTTTGAAGGACTTACCTTTACAAGCCCAAAAATGGAAGTGATAGGATTACACCTTGTGAATAATGCAGCACTAAATATTATCTAAGATCTCATCAAGCAAACCTGATATGCAATATTCATAAAATCTGGTAGAGATTTCCGATACCTATCAGATCGCATTATGGCAATGGTCCTTTCCATTTGTTCTAAAGGATACTCAAACACTACCTATTGCACCTTGATACCACGTATATTTCGAGCCCAAACTGTAAACCAGTCAGGAGACTTTGATTAGAATGTGGAATATTGGCAATCTTTTCAAAACTATTTTGCACAATTTTTGCGATTTTTCGGGGCCTCAGCAGGATTCAAATCCACGCATAGTGGCTTTTAAAAAGCTCACAGGCTACTGAACATTCCCGGAATCAACGATGAAACTTAAGTCTGTCAAGCAACTCAATAAAACTATTGATCACCAGGAAAACGCTTCGTTTAAGCCAGTTTATATGCGACCCGGTTGGATTCCATACGTATATGGAAATTAGATCATTGATCCAAATGTGGAACGATTAGCGATGCTTATATCAATCATATTCCTTGATTGAATTGAATGCAAAATTGATACGTCTGTACATGGTCAAGCGGTATCAGTAGAAAGTAATTGGATAGATACCGAACGTGATCAAGCGGAGAATTGATTGCAACAGAACTCTAGAACACTTGGTGAAAGACTCCGTCGCAACTCCTAATCTTTACTTTTGATCAGTATATTACCTTACAGCCGATTGCGTTCTGAACGCAATCGATCGAGAATAGCGTACTTTCGTCTCACAGGCGCGTAAATATCTGCTCATGCGTTCAGTATATAGTCACTAAGCAGATTAGCGCATTTTTTTGGGGGGGGGGGGTTGAAGAGAAAAAAATAAGCATACGGACGCAATCAATTTCATAATTCCCGATTAGATCAATATAGATGAAATAATGATTTTGAAAAAAACTTAACTATCATCCAACATCAGAGTTGAATGCCTGCAGTTCCCGTAGACCAATCGGATTATATTTCCGGTTTTCTGCACCCAGCAATGAAACACTAATTCTCTCTCTTCGATGCCACATCTTATCCTCTCTGTGTAGAAACAAATTGAAATTGGTTGTTTTTAAAGCTACAAATCACATAGAGATGAAGATGTGAGTGAAAATATCTTGCATGAAATCCAGCAAACTACGAAATGAAATGTATTGATTCTTGTACACTTGTCCGTTCTTTTCTTGATTACCTTTTAGCATTGTTGTAGTGACAAGTTACTGATTTATGTCTTTCATCATGATCTCTCTATGCCCCAGAGATGTGACATCGCCAGTGGCTGACTAACAAACCATCTATGATAATTCAAAGAAGATTCTCATAAGAATTTCAAGAGATAAATAATATAGCAAACAAACTTGTTTTTGTAACTTCGTCTTCAGACATTTACAGTTATGTGTGAGTTTATATCTAATGTGGAAATAATTGTGATTGGTATGTTGAGGTTAAATATGAAAGGACAACAATATATTTTAAGTTGAGTGAGTCGGGAAAAGAACTCGAATGATTTACTCGAAAGATCGAGTGGAGGAAGAACTTGGATTCAGCACATCTACACTCCTGAATACTGGATCCCCGTAGAGTTTCATCGAGAAAAAGTTGATAGAAAAGCCCACTTTGCCAAAACCAATCATGGTAAAAAAAACTATTCTTGCAGCTCCCGTTCAAAGGGGATACAAGTGATGATGGACTAAGAGGACGTCTGGTAAAAGGAATTGTACGAACATGTGCAGTTGCCACTCTAAATGTGATGTTTACAAGCCGGCCACAGCTCTGCACATACCTTAAAAACAAACTGTCCATCCTCTTCTCATCTATGATTACATATTCCTTCACTTGCACGTATTCGGTAAGTTATGCAGGACGAATAATAAGACAGTTCTCACAACNCTGGATGCAAGAAAACAAAAATAACGGATGCACTTGTGACCCACAACGCCGAAACCGGAGACCAGGTAGACAGTGATGGATTAAAATCATTTACAAAGTGCCCCAAATCAAAGTCAAAGTACATTCGGCATCGTCATTAGGTAACGGTAGAAGCTGTAGCAAGTAAAATCATGAATCCACCACTCTACAAACAGAGGAAAATGATTGGCGCATTTCAGTTGCCTTGACCTCGTCCAAATATGACGTCGATCATGTCATGATGACACAACATGACATAACAAGGCGCAGTTGAAAATGAGTAAACAAGATAGAGGGAACATGTTTTTCCTTCAGATATTTGCTTACACGATCAAATCACNCAAATCACTATTTAAAACACACATGCCAATATTTCAAGGTCACTGTAGATGTTGTTCTTTACATAGAACTACTGTGCTTGTAGATCGTTTTTGTTTCTAATCACTTTTTGACATTATTCGAAGTTTGAGTGTATTTCAAGCTCCGGAATGTATTTCTCCTACTTCATTGTTCCGCTGAGGTATGAGGCGACACCGAAAGGTCACAGATGTTCTATGTGAAAGGGTGCTCCAAAGTTTCGAAAATACACCCATCTGTAGCGATGGTATGAAGCGTTGACCAGTAGCACCAGGCGGTATTCCAAAAGCCTATTCGTATCATCCCGGCTTGTTGAATACAGTGATGAAACTGAATGACACGTGTCAGTAGAACAGCTACTTGAGCTCGTTCGGTAAAGAAACCGAGCATTGAATATTGGACAGTAGATGTCCACACCAAACTGTGCGATTTTTCAATGAATCTCGCTCAAGTTTATCGAAGATAAAATGACTAACACGGGTTTTGCCTTAGAATTAAGTCTTCTCATAGTCTGTAGATAAAGCGTGGTATTAGGAAGACACTACAAAACTGGTTGTAATCTAGATGTATATTGAAAAATCTTAGATTCATGATCACTACTATTTACAGCAGTTGATCACATCAAGAAAGCCATTTATCGCCATCCTGACTAATCCCGAGGAAACGTATCACCATTGTCAATATACACATGAATCAGTCGGTCTCCGCGTCGAGGTTTTCTTTTGCTTTATGCCAGTTTACAATTGAGTGGAGCTTGACAGTCCACCGACGGCGAATTAGGTTGGTGAGCATCAAGAAGTGCACCTCCCGGAAAACATGGCCAAACAGAAGTTCCAGTTATCTCTAATTTATTCTACAAATTGAAAACAGGAGCTACGATGGCGCACATGTGAATCGAGATCCCCAAAACAGTTGGCCGTTTGATTCTTCCTAGCTTTTCAGCTCACGCTTCATGTACACGAAGAATTCCTCATCTAATCAAGTCAAATCCTCTATTCTTCTTATAAAACAAGTAGTCAGGTTGTGAAAGTGTCCAGCCGGGTCATAACCCCAGAAGCTAGGGCTGAGATGAGCGAGGTGCGATTCCTACAGCAAACTCACAAAGATGGATTGTGGTATATTGGTCTGATTAGCTGCCCAGTGGTGGAGTGGGTAGTGCGATTACTTTCTACTTGTGAGGTTCTGGGTTCGATTCCCCCAGCTGGGTCGATGGATTTGCATTGCTGCTGATAAGACCCAACCAGGTCGAAACAGCTGTCCAGTGTTTCCTGGCTTCCAGCACATGTCTCATTTACACCACGAATTCAACATCATATAGTTTGTAAATACATAAAATAAAACCAACAGATAACATACATAGATGACTAATGTGGAAATAATAATAGAAATAATAAGTCGTTACAGTCAACAAAAAAGAATAGGGTGTGCTCCATCGAGAGAAGAGAAACCATAGAATGAAAGTATGCCAACCTTGCAACTCTGATCAAACTCGAATTCACACTTTTCGAAAATCAGATCAAAAGTGATTATTGCCATCTCAATTACCCTGCACGTGTTGCGGACTCAATAGATAATGTTTTAAGGTAAGGCAACTCTATTGCGACTTAACCAGAGTGTTCTATTTTTTGATCAAATGTGTCTCAAAGTGACCTCCGTGGACCTCAAATTACACAATCACCGGATAGGAAACTGCAGACTTGATCAGGGTGGACGCTGATCTATTCAAGGGGAAATGCAATGGTAGTAATTAATTATCAAGTAGTGAGAAACTGCAGTCTAACTGTGTTAACCAGACGCCTACCGAACCAAGCGAGAGGAAGAGATGTAATGCAAAATTTATTAACAGTCCACCCGGTTCGGAAAACAGACAAATACGAGTCTTTATGGATAGAACATCTACTGAGGTAGACGTCAACGTTAAGCCAAAGTTTCACAATGGGCGATTTTAACAAAGCTAAAAATTATCATGCCTCGTAGGATTTTTACAGAATAATTCGAAAAACTTTGCACAGAGAAGATAATAATAATAATAACAATATGCCTGATCACTCACGTATGTCGGAATTTTAAGTGTTCCAATGCTTTATCCATTCACGATTTGAACAGTTCAACTGCAGGAGCACACACCACATCAGATGAAAGAGAATTACATACACCGCACACTCTGATTGCAAACAAGTGACGCCGGCAATCAAGGTGGCTGATCTGGGTCTTCAACTTTAATGGATGTCCCCTGAAGTGATCATTTTTAGATAAAATACGCATAGAACGGCCAGGGTGGTTGGGTCGATGCAGTTTGTGAGATGCCAAGATTAGATCCCCCCGAAGTCGGCGGTAGATGAGTAGAGTCCTTAAATTTCAAGTCTTTCGGAGCATTTCTTGTTATACAGAAGCTTTATCACATTTGTTGCCAGCCTTTGGACCAACTCAGTCGATACAAAGTAAAACAATAT